TCTGAATCCAAAGCAGCGAAACGATTTTAAATCAAATTCAGATACGGGAAGAGATTGCATGAGTTGGAATTTGATTCTAGTAAATAATAAAACCGTGTTTAGGTGAGAAGACAATTCATCTGACTGGCTGGCTAACTTTTTTGAATCCATACATCAAAGAGTCACCAAGCATACACGTTTCGGTTTGTTGAAATAACCAAAAATGCGAAAATTATCAACCGACTGATGTTTTCATTTGATGTTGTTTCTCTACGAATGTTATCCTATTAGAAACGATTTCATTTGTGAATTTATGAACACGGAAGTGATATCCTTGGGCATCCAAGTCACAACTCTCAAGGAACTTATGCTCTTATGGACACGAAATGTACAATTTTTTAGTAACACCGCTAAATCGATGGTGTTGCTATGGGTTCACACCTGAAGCCTGTTATCATCGACATCTTCTTGGTCAAGTCAGAGACGGCTTCTTTATCAAAGATTGTTAGTTGTTTTGAATAATAACATCGTTATATAGATTGTATTTATTTCGTGGCTAACAAGAACACTAGTCTAGTCAGAATTCAACGCACCACATTCGTCAGTTAAGTTCACAACTGAACCAGAGGAGAATAATTGCCTCCCGTTTTCGGATGTTCATCTGAATAGGCCCCCCAGTGGGTATGTGCAAACAAATATATATATCGAAAAGCAACATGGTGTAGATAGTGCACAAGATTTTGTAGCTTCATTCCACTCTATCAAAAACTCAACCTTGTACGCTGTCTCCTGCAGAGAGCAGGGCGCATCTGTTCCGAAGATATTTCAAAAGATGAACTTGGACTAGTGAGGAGAACCTTCCTGGAGAATGGCTATCCTGAGAAGCTCATCGACCGTAATTNAGAAGCTCATCGACCGTAATTGGACTGAACAGAATACGCGAACAATACTACCAAAAGCACAGAATAAAATACGTTTTATGAAACTTCCATTCAAAGCTGATGTCACCAGTGACAGGGTCAGTAGAGTTTTATCCGCTACAGTGAAATCCACCTGTAATGCCCCTTAGTTAAGATGCGTGTTATATACTTCACCAAACATCCAATGCTACGTTAACTATAAGCTGCCTAAGTTGACCTAATCTATAACTGTCTATCAATTCAAGTGCATCTGTGGTGCGATTTATTTTTATTTATTTATCTCAACGTATCAAAGAGCACAATCCCTGCTGAATCCCACAGAAGTTGTGTCAGGCTCGATCGTTGCCCGTCTAGTAGAGACGGGACACTTACCTAACATGCGCTCGGAATTTACAATAGTTTATCGAGTCTCACTACACCCCTCGAGAGCAATACGGGTTTGGACGTTAGTGACCGCAGAGGCGATTCGTATTCGACTTATAAAACTCCAAAGAAAACTGATCCGAACTCTCAAACTCTCCTGGTAAGTGGAAGGAAAAACTGCTGGTTCAAATGACCATGACCAAACATAGAAAATGTTGGTTGCTTAATCCGAACAAGTGATGTCGGCAATCTAGATTACTGTCCTGGGTCCTCAACTTCAACAGATGTTCCCTGAGATGATTATTTTGGGATAAGGTCAACACAGAACGGTAAGGGTAGTTGGGTTGATGCAGTATGTGGTGTGTCCAAATTTACCCTCCTCATTGAAAGAAGACGGGAATGAGATGACTCAAGCCCCAGTATCTACAGTCTTTCGCAGTATCTCGTCATATACGGACGTTTCATTTTTTATGCTAAACTTTGAGGACGTTAAGGAGCCTTCAAACAAAGATGCCATTTATAAATGGCATGTATGGCCGAATGAAAGCTGAGAGCAAGCTCGAGAACAGTGCTAATTTGGTCTACCCGAAGGCACGTGTAAATGTTTCAAACTACTTCAGTACCATATATGCCGCTCTGGCAAAGTACGTGGAGCATCCGATGTCCTCCCGCATCATAACTCTCCCATCCTTTTCATCAGTGGCAGGCGTTAGTATTTGGTTCCTCAGAAAATAGGAGAAATGATTCTTGTGACGCATGAAAATAACTTTGCTTTTGTGAACGTCAAATCTGATTTGATTGGCGATTGCTCATTAGTGGGCTGCGTTGAGAGTTTTTTGGAGTGCCAAATATTCTTCTGGATATGTTTATATTCTCCAGTTGTTATCATCGTCCTCAAATGGTAGTGTATTTTGCCAAGGGCATGTGGTAGTTCATTTATAAATGCAAGAATGAGAAGAGCCCCCAACACGGATCCAAACTGAACTCGTCGGACAGTGGTAACAGGTTCAGACAATAAATCACAAAAACGAACTGACATGATTCTTTGTTGGAGAAAATTCTCCATCTAGTCGAGAAACAAAATCCGTAGAGCTTTTGCAGTATAATGTAAGGGTTTACTCGATTAAATGCCTTTGAGAAGTCTAGAAAACCATAGCCAATGGCGTGCATGCATTGACGGCATTGGTCCACTCATCTCATGCAAGAAGTAGATTTGTGGTGCACGATCGCTTGTGCAGAAATCCGGGCTGAGCAGGAGACAAATGCTCATGCTTCCCCAGATACTTAGCTCTTCCACAAACTTAGTACACTGATTTCGCAGTATAGAATGAGTGTTCCGATTTTCGATAGATGGACATATTCTGTACTCCCGCCTGGAAACTTTCCTCTGCTCTAACCATTTCTTTGGTCCGCTGAGAGTGGTTGATTGCTGAGTTATAGATGGAGCACATGTTTTTACTTGTCACAACCGTTGTTACATCGGTCAGATATTCGGCGAGGCTCTTCTATGACACCAGAGAATTGTGATTGTTTTTTGAGAGGACCCACCTCTTAAGTACTGCCGAGTTTTACAACATGTTGTAGTTTAAGACGGCACTAATACAGCTCTCCTGATTTTCTGGGGCTCACACTGTATATTGTTTCGATGGTAAATCAACCCTCTACCGATCCGTGTAGGATGATCACGTTTGGGCAGCGACATTTTGGACGGATTCAGTTGTGAGTTGAAAATATTGGTGGTATTTGGGAAATTGTTGTTTGAATTGATTGTTTGTTTTACTGTATCAATTGTGTTTTTATGATTGGTCCGTATAAGACTTTAATTTTGCATACCGAACAGTCTGATTGGTCCAGGTTTATATATAAACGCCTGTGATTCCCTTCCAAAATGTGATTCGTTTCCAGCGGACTAGAGAAAATATATCGAGAGTATTTCCTGAAGAACCGACTCTTGACATGATGGCAGCGAAAAATGATACAAACTTCCCAATGTTGGAGAGACTGAATAATCGACTGCAGGTCCAACCGCCGGCTTACCTGACTATAGAGAAGACGGGGCGATTGACTGACAACTGGAAACTGTGGCAAACAGCATGGAGACCTTCGTACACTGTCAGCGATGGACCGCGAATCCAGTCCCGTACACTTGGCTTTGTTCCGTCACTCGATTGGTCCGGCTGCTCTGCGTGTCATAAATGGATTTGCTTACAGTCCAGATGAGGACCGTGGAGATTGGCAGGTGGTGATGGTGAAGATGGAGTGATACTGTCTTGGCGAATCCAACGAGACTTACGATCGATACATTTTCAAGCAGAGGAGAAAGCAGCATGTTGAGTCCCTTGACGCATTTTTCCTATCCGTAAAATCACTGGCTCGGTCGTGCAATTTTTGTGTCTGTCTGGAAGAGAGTCTAATAAGGGATCTAATTGCCGTTGGCCTACGGGATTCTGCTGTGGTAAAGCGCCTTCTAAAATTTCCATTTCGTTGTGTTCGTGAAAATGAGAATAAATACACGTATTTCCCGCTTGTCGAACCCTCGCATCTAACTCTACACTTGTCGGCCAGTAACTACGACCTTATCGGAACCAGTTTTCTCTCGACTTCCAGTTAAAATAACCCTTTTTCAGGCGTGTTATTTATTTATCTATTTATTGGTGCAATAGTGGTGTATGGTGTTCTTGCTAGCAGGTCATATGCAACCTTCTCGAGTGACAGCCTATAATCATCAAGAGAATTCCACTGTTTCTAAGTCAGAAACTGTACACAAACATTTCTCAAAGTTGTGTGGTCTGGGTTGTTCGAAGTAGGTCCAACACTTTCAAGTGAATTTCTAACCATTTATATATAGAATGCAACAAAAGGCAAAAATCCAATTATCCGATCTCACTTTGGGTCCCCCAAAAACGGGAGCAGTTACAGTTTGAAAAACCTTGGTGCAGTATTTCTTGTTTTAGTATCTGTTTCCATACAAATATGATTGCTGTCTTTGTTTCTCGCCCAGCAGCGTGATATTCTCTATACTTATCTTTCACGGTCCGCAAACTTTGGATTGATGTGCGAAACAGACTTTGCGTTTTTCTTGCAAATGGATACTTTTGTATGTCATGCCACTGGGTGTGAGCTTACATTTTTGATAAATTAGAGACTACAAACCAATCAAACTGACACGTATTCCGCAAAACGCTTGGGAAAATCGATCGGGATATAGTAAGCAAATCAGCCATACCTATGATCGATGGTGTGCTTAAGACGACACAAAAAGCAATCAAATTGTCTCGGATGGATGGATAGATAGCGCTTGATTTCTGACAATTTAACCCAGGCTCAAGATAGATAGTTTTTGGAGATATTGTGCGGACACGACAAGAATACAAACATAGACGCTCCATTTGTGTAACGGTTGTGCTTCTGGAACAGGGCACATATTGCGACTGGGAGGTTGTGTTGGGGGGGGGGGACTGGTTCCACTTGGAACAGACAATAAATGAATCAAAAACACAACGGCGAACTGTGTTCCTGGGCAGGGGTGATGATGTCAGTGGTGTTGGTGCTGATGGTGGTGGGTCGTTATGGACAGGGAAGAAAAAGCGTTTGATAATGAGCCGTGAACATGGACGGCATCTGACATCAATTATTGGGAACAAAATCAAACTGTAAAGCGTTTCTGAAATGAGAATTTATTATTTGAAATGTCAGAAAAGAGAAAACAAGGCTCACGAATTTATCACATGCTCCGTATCAGTTTTCATGACGCTCAAACGAACTACGCGCCGTCAGACGAGGGCTACTTGCGTAGTTTGGCGATCCGCAGAAATTCACCGACAGGTGTCCATCAGCTGTCATAGGCACGGCAGTATTGGGAGGGGATGGAAGCCGACGACGTGCACGCTGCTGGCATGAACCTACATCCTCAAGGCAGGAGCTATGACGACGCCAACTTGCTGGTGCTGCTGCTGGCGTGAGACTGCGTGTATGCGAACCATTGCGCTCCGGACTTTCGTCCACAAAAATCGGAGGTGTGTGAAAGCTGGATATATGATTTCGATCGGTCAGTAATTCACCCTGATGACTTCGACGATGTACCAACTGTCCCGGTTGTCTGCTTTGTCCTGCCTCAAAGTTATTTTGACGATTTTCAGTAACCTGCCTCACAACCTGTTTGGAGACTTCTCGCTTTACGCACGATTCATCTTCTCCGGCTGGGAGAACACGCCCACTGTATACTGGGGATGTTTCCACACTGTGCTGAAATGATAATCGCCCGTCATTGGTACTGTCGGATTTGACGCTTCCCAAAACACGTTTCAGTTCACTTGTTTTTGACTGCAGTTCTTGACTGAAAAATAAAAAATAAACCATAGCGTTACACCAAGTGATCAGTCTCCAAAGAGAAGGGGTTCTGAAATTTTGGGCATTATTTTATTCAATTTCAGTCTCAGAAAAGAATTTACTTCATTTGCTCACAAAACCACAAACATATCTGATAAGTTTTAGCCTGTTTCTCGTATCGTATTGCATTAACTGGCTGATTTCGGCAGCCGTGGAAATAAATCCGACGCAATCAAAAGCGTTTCACTTTTAACATGGTTTGTTGAAAGGTTTTGCGCAACCCCTTGTATAAAAGTTTGTGTGAAACTCCAAATTATGGAAAGGGAGAGTTGTTTCGAGTAGCGTGATGATAAATTGATCGGGTGAATGAATGACCTCAGCATTCCAAGAAAATCAGTATTCCCAGGTTCAGGCAAGATTTAAAGAAATTCATCAGCACAAAAATCTCACATGAGCCTCGCACAGAAAGATGAGCAGCATCTGCAGAGAATCGCAGAAATAAGACTCACCTTAAAGAACCCAAAATTTAACCTCACGTACACCAACAGTTTCGGGGCACAAAAGACGTTTTTCAAATAGTGCGTTCTATAGAAGATTATTTTTTGATCCTCGATATTTATTTATTGTAAAGCGTGGATCAACGGATCATAGGAATCATAGGAAGGTCCGAAAGATACAGTTGATAGCAGCAGATTATTTATTTTACCTTCTAACAAACTTGAGCTAGCCTAAGTTTAACATTCGGTGCAAACAGGCGTTGAGCATCTATGACGAAGACACACCGTACTTTGTGATTTTTCAAAATCCCAATGAATATTGGTTATACGCAACCTAATAACTTTCCTTATTCTCCTTATTCTAAACTAGGTTTTAACAAACGTTGTTGACAACTGATCCCTTTTGTATGTTTTAACTCAGAGATTTTTCTTCTAGTTCCGTTCACCTTAGTCTCCCAGTTTTTTTTTCTTCGTTCTTTGTATCTTACAGGTACCACGATCTACTTTCCCTTGTAAAACGGAAATTAAATCCTGAAACGCAACGGTCGCGATACTGCTTAAGCATGCACGCACGCACGCACGCAGACACACACACATGCATGACCGAGTTCATGTAACCTTTTCGTTGACCACATTTCCCAATTCAGGTTATACACTTTTGAATGGGATGACCGAATACGTCACAGGTATCTTAATTCATGCTGACTTATAAAAAGCACGTAGAGCAACGAATATGTTTGCATAAGTTGAACGATGATGAGTAAAACCGGAGATTGAATTGAATGCATGGTGACGTGTTATCCTGAAAGTGTAAGAAACGACCTGATTAATCTGATCATTACTATTGTCCGATTTCATCCACATTCCATGTCGTTGTTCAGACCTAATCCTTTCCACACTTCGGACGCGGAGTGCGAGAATGAAACTCGAGCATACATAAGGTGTCCCAACGAGAGAGCGCGGCTTGACGCGAAACTATAGTTTGCGGAAACGGGGTGTTTATCGGTATTACAGCCACTTCATTCAGTCGCTGTAATTAATAATCATGTATATTCGCTTTCGGTTAGGCGGTGGGCGGTCGAACTTCCTCCAAGTTCACCGAACTTGGTGATATAGTTTTGTTGCATGTAATTTTGTCCAAACCCTGTACAATGAAATGTCCACTCGATTGAGACAGTATGCGAACTTCCTGAGTTATAAATTATAGAAAACAATTGATAAAACGCCATGCTATGAATACAAGCTAAAAAACCATGAGCGAACGAAGTGAAAAGCCAGGAATAAAATCTACAAAACATCATAAGCAAAGGTAAAAGAACGATTGGCAAACGGTTACAACCGTGAGAAAGGATGAAAAACCACGCGAAACATGGCAAAATTTCCCTTTGACTACGTATTACTGTCGAAAATTAGCAGAAAGCTCGACGAATGGGGTAAAATCGATCAAAATTTGAACTGCGGAATAAAACCGGTGAATAACAGAACAGCAAGGGAGATTGCGCAATATTTGGTAATATTTGGGTGATATCTTTAAACCTTTATTAGCTCGGAGAGGAACCCGATCGCACCAAGCCTGGCTCAGCCCATATGAATCAATGAGGAATCCCATGACAAAAGGTCAACCATTAGAAATGGAGCGCAGTAAAAGCTGCTGTGACGGGTCCGTGAGTGGTGTAAATAGCTAGTCATATATTTATGTGTACTCAAATATATGGTCGGTTATACGAGTGTGCATGCGAGCCAGAGGTAGAGAGGACTTGTGATGATTGCATATAGACTATGAAGTCTTCTGTGTTATTCGAACATGATATCCCTGTCCGTTCTCGCTTTCCGCATGGTGCAGCATGACTCCGTTGTCAAATGCTGCCCTCGGATTTAATTCCGTGTGCTAGTTCTGGGTTTGACCATTATTGCCTGGAATTTGATCGGTATAAGGGTTTTTACTCCCAGTATAAATCATAACAGAACTTTAGTATTTAATAACTGGGCGGATAATCAAAACTGGGTTGACGGACACTGACCTACAACATGTCAGGTGTTCGACAGCGACCATTAAAGAACTGGCCCGAATAAATGCGTTGACGTCAAATATTCCAATGCGAGGGAAACAAAATAACAACAGGTGGGAGGTAGTAACTTTGCATCGGAAAGCAATGTGCCCAATTTAAAACAATCAGAATAAGTATTGTTCTGTTGTGAACTATAACTTCTGTGACAGAGAATATAAGGCATATAAATGCTTATTCCCTAGTGTTCATCATGCAAGGACTCTCCAGAACGATCGATTCTAGATTCTAGTTTTGTCAAATACATCAGCTGTTTGAAAGTATTATTAATGATTCACGAGTGTAACTGGAAAAAGTAAGATTGTTCATGGATAAAGGTGAAACATTTGTGGTGCATATTGACCTCTGCGCGTTCTCCTTTACTATGTGAAGCATCATTCAATTTATGTCCCCTGAACCTTAACTGATCCAATTCGGAGCCTATCCAAACGAAATACGGTTCGGCTGCGCCCTATATTTCAGTTAAACAGGTGGTATCGTCACTTTAATTCTATCCTCCAGATTCATTGACTTTGATCTGCTATACACTGTTACGTTCGTCCGTTAGGTTGCTCAGATCCCGAATACTCCTTAGAATTTCTCTGGTTTCAACACTGTTTGCCGCGTCATTCTTAAACTTTCCGTGACCTGCCTCACTGTTCTGTTTGTAGCTGTTCGCAGCCAAAAGTGTATTGCATTTAATTCCGTCCCGTTCATTACGCTCTGTGCCCGGATTTGTTCACGATCACAAATGGAGGTATGAAAAATGTGCTTTATTGTTGCGTTTTCATCCCGCATAAAAAACCGTACGAAAGTTTTGGGACTGACATGCAGATTCAGGTTAAAGGCACTGAACCAAATTTGTAATGGAACAACCTATTCTTTGCTGGCACACATTTTACCGACTGCAGTGCACCCCAACGGAGTCCATGTGATACGTTTTTACTGTTCACCTTGTCAGTTGCCCATGTTAATCAATTTGCCTTCAGCTATGAATATTTCATTAGCTGCATTAGCTTCCACGTGCCAAAGATGCGTTCCGATCCGATGAGACGCTTCTCAGACAGTGCGTTCTTAGCACATATACATACTGACGTTATTCCAGTTGTGCAGCTGTGAAAGTAGAAACCTGAAGATAATATTTTGGGTTATGCTTAGACAGAAAATGCCGGCTTTCTGTCGATAGGCTACGTGTTATTATTATTATTATCATTATTATTATTATTGTTGTTTTCCACATTTACCCATAACATCACATTGTAGTCGCTTACATTATGAATAATTCCTTTTTACAACTGTTATAGTTTATCAAAAATGTAATGGATTCCGAAATAGACATTTGGGTGCTCCATTTTCTCATACCCAGATAAAGTGCACTGAAACAGATTTCCGTTTAAAAAGATACAGCATGTCGGATCCTTAGTGCAAATCGGATCACCGTTTCCCGAGTGCTACAGATCGTTGTATTCACTCAAGTCTTGATACAACACTTGTACATTAGAAACATTTTATGAGGGTATCTTGATTTCAGAATGTCGGATTTCACAACTCATTTGCCTCAACCACTCTGCATCTAGCAGTGACTTTTCGAGTCAATATACTTTTCCGTACTCCACACGAGAGTAGTGGGAGATTCGATTTGATTGAAAGATGATTTTCGTCGTATACAGAGCACAGGCTATAGACGCCAAATGCCTACGAAGCACGGTACTGCTGTTTTGACTTTGCTGGGGTCTAGTTAGCAGATGAAATCCATCGATCCAACTAGAGCTCGAACCCGGTATTTCCTGGATAACAGACAAGCACAATGTTCGCTTGAACAATAAACAGCTTATTCCGTAGCGTATTATCTTTTGTATTTACCATGTAGAACAACCAGTCTTCGCAAGCTCGGTGCAAGCAACCGGTCCCAATGAACCCAGTACCAAAGGAGCAAAATCTGATGAACTTCATCTTATATTCGATACCCCACCCAAATAATTTGAGTCCTTGATATGTTTATGGAGATGGATATTTTTTTGCTCAGCTGAGTTGTAAATATACGGAAATTTTTACAATATGCTGATGATGTATAAAAAGTGGATGGCATGAGTGACGGCGAATTTCAGATATAATGTGACACAAAATTGGTTAAGACAAAACATTTGCAAACGGGATAACCGTTGCAAAACATTAATGTTGGATTATAATATGTTGTATCAACGGAACAACCCCCTAAGATCATTGTGGAATAATTGTTATTATGTACATAAAAAATGCAGATAATAGTTTAACCGAAGAAACACACTGCATTTGGTTGTGGTACATATCGCACTTTTACTGTTGGAATGAATCAAAGAAGATTTGATCATTCCATTTCTTTGCTTCCATTATTTATTATGCATAACCGGGAACAAACACGACCTATCATCTGTAGTGCGCTTTTTACACGTACGCACTACAATGTTTCGAATTTTGATGTAGTTAATATTGCTAAAAATGTTTTTTGATTTACTAATTCTCGGTGTTAATGAATAGATACCCGTACGAACACACTGGAAATGATCTTCAAATATCAGGAATTGAAATCCCCCGAGTTCATTTATAAACTATGTTTGATCAAAGGTCAGGAANAACGTGCTACTGAAGTACTATTCACTTTTTGCACATAGAACCAAAAAAGAGCGTTAAAAAGATGTTTCATCGCTGATGGAACCTATCGAAAGTACGTATTATTTGTGTCCATGTATGAGATCGAAGTATGCGTCTTTCTCTGAGGGCCCATGGGTGCACGGCTGCATGATCTGAGCGTTATTGTTGGTGTCTACGAACAATTACATAGCGAAATCCTTGAAATACGTTTTTGCCTCAAGTTATTGGTTTGTGGTACATCGGAGTACTTTTAGGGGGAGCAAATCTTTACATTGTGTAATGTTCAAAGCTGTCTGAGTAGCATCACCGATGAGTTTGTTGCTAAGCGTTTGGGTCATGCATATGTATCGTGCGTGTTGACTCTCTTCATCAAAAATGCTTTGATCCGAAAATCTAAACAGCTTAATAGAGCAAACCATCAACAGCGATGATCTTTCACTGATTTCAAGTGGTATAATTTATGCAGGACATATCTGAAGTAAAATGAGCCATTGGGATGGTGAACGTGGTACAATACGCTATTTCCAATTCATTGATGAATCAGATTTGCTCATTTGGGGGAGAATCAAAGTTCCTTGTTTGGGCACAATTGCTTTCGAGTTCGCATCCGGAGAAGTGTGACTGAACTGTAGGGGATCAGACTAAGGTATTTCTATAATTGCCATAAACAGAGTAATCTGTTGATCGTATTCTAAATCTTGTAGTGCTATGACTTTGAACTAGTTTTCAGCTTTTGTATAGTTGTTAGATATCACCAGCAATGCATATCCAGTATCTTTATCTTTTTATTATAGTTCATCTGATTGAATACGTGATCATTCAATGAGTGCTTAGGTGGAGGCGACCAATCAAAGGGCTCTCATGCAACCCATCAACCAAATCTATCGGGATTTACACAAGAAATCAAGTATGGAGTAACGCGACTGGCAGATCGTCTGCGTTATTCGGGTTTTGCAGTTCAATCCTTTGGACAGGTATTTTCATTATTCTAATCAATTCATTCCTGGGTATAGGTAACAAGTTGAGTACTCATGGTAGTTATAGCTTCATGTGCTGAACAAAGATGTGAAATTCAAGTATACTATCGATATTTAAAACAATTCCATGCCACGAAGTTGTTTGGCAGTTCTGCTGCAATCAGTGAACTTGATTATTCAATAGAACTGCAATAACTTAAAATCCCCTCTTGAAAAATTGAAACGTTTTCATCTATAACACTGAACGTGTTTCGGCGATCTTTAGCCAGAAGTTACTCCATAAAAGCAGATTTCTATAATTTGAAAATCACGAAATAGTTTACCTTCTCCGCCAGTGAGAAGAAAAATTGAAAGAAAAACAAAATGCAAAGTATATTTCATTGAAATAAATAATTACACAATCGCGTTGATGACGGGTGTCTGTACCGACATTATTTCATTGGAACATGTATATGTACCAATTTGTCGATGGAACTGATTTTCGTGAGTACGCATCAGTTTCATGGTGCTCTGTAAAACTGTATGCAATGTACTAGCTTTCCAATGAGAACCTCAGGTGGAATGTATGAGTAATTAGACTAATCAGTTTTCATTTCGTAAATATAAATACTTCAAAGTTCTTTAAAATACTAGACGAATATATACATATGTTTGGTGATTTTATCCCTACTCCATTACAGTTAGATTCCCCCAAGAATAACTAAAGTACGAATGTCATATTATGTCAGTTTTGGGGGAGGGGGTATAGCCCATTCAAGAGATTCAACCATCTTTGGGTTTCTACTAAGAAATCAGTTTTCGCTGCTTACCAGATCACGTATTTCCTTCACGTCATCAAACTCCCGTGCCAAAGCGGTTAAGTGAACTTTGATGACCTCATCTATGAATACGCGCACACGGAGCTACTCACCTACGTCGAGCAATGAAGTACTTATCAAACGCATCCAAGAGCACCACCCCCGTTCTATTATACATTGAAAGAATATAAGAATCTTTAGAACTCCATTGTTCCACATTCGGTAGAAATCTGGACCTCGACCCACGTTCAGTCGGGTTTAAATGTATCAAGAACAATTCGGTTTTGGACAGTAGCAACTGTCGATGCAGTTGTTATTCGCCTGTTTAAACCTGACCTGTGTTCTCGGAGAGGATCAGTTCAGAGAGTTAAATTTCCCTGACATTCAATCGAATGTGTTAAATTTAACAGTTTACACAATTAGAACAACACTCGACAATTTCCCATATGGATTTAGATTCATCCGTCCTCCCACCAGTGTTTCTCTTAGTTGGCTGCATGTAACGTCGTTATTGATTTATTTTCTACATAGATTTGCTTGTATTGGATTGAGAATGTGGCTATAAAAACCAATCTCCGGCGGTAACTCTAGTTTTGAGTGTGGTGAGGAGCTTTTATCCTCGAATCGGTCATCAAATTCAATGAGAAAATCATATAAAATAGGCAAACATCGTCAATAGAAATGAAAGCTTACAGTTTGTTTTCCAATTCGGCATCGATTCATTCATTTCGAAATGAAATTGAAACCTGGGCTCTGAAACCCACGGTTCCCGAAAGATTGCACAAAAAAGCGTTCTCTAACTACGGAAATCATTTATTCATGTGAGTACCATCAACCGGGTGAGATGAGCTGAGTTTTTTCGCCAATACTTGGAGATACAGCGTGGTTTTCAGGATTTTATATATTAAAAAGACTGTTCTTATCAGATGTGCGACACCTGAGTTAACTGCACAAATCACATATTCGGTATAAACGTCTTTGTAAACGTATCATATCAGAAAAATGTTACTGAATAAAGAAAACTTGGATATCTAGCGTTACTCAAAGTCTGGGAAAATAATATCGCCTAAATATATGAGAAAGATACACTGAAAGTGCGTAATAAACAGCTCACTCTTCACAATATTATTTTTCACATCAATTTTGATCAAACATGCCATTGGGGAGAACAAGAATTTTTCAAACAACCGGTTTATTCCGTGCTCTGCAGAGTGTTTCAGAGTGCGTGATTAAAATAGTACGGAACTCACAGCATTTGATATCGTTGCAGACTTTCCAGATCATCAAATGCGCTGTGTTCGGTGCGATTTATGACGGCCAAGTTCAACCACTCAATACGCAATGTGATCGCGTTGTCCGCTGGACGAGAGTAACCAAATTCCGAACTACATACCTATAAAAAATGAGGTGTGGAAATTTATGTGCATTCCTAAACTAGCATGGTGGTTAGGATACCTGAAAGATATTTGTCTCGAAAAATTGGAATGTTCATGTTGCTACGCTGTTTGATCGTGGCAATAGCATTTATCCCTTAACATTTTGGGAGCATTCGAATCATGCGTTTCTCAAGCACCTACATCCCAGTGTTAGATAAAAAACGAGAGGAAATCAGTGATCTCGGGTTATGATGCAGTTAAAATACTGGCGATATGAAATGTGTCGCTCGCTACCTATGACTGGTTTTACGAAGTAAAAGCTTACCGATTTGTTTTACATGCCTACTATGAGGGTACTTATTTTAAACATTCAAACAAGGTATGCTTTGATGTAAACTGATTGCCAACCACCTTATTAGTTAGGTATAAATGCTTGAGACTCGCATCGACCAATCACTGCACAAATAACACTTACTTTTTCCACATCCAACTGAAGAGCAATGTCGCTACAAATATCTCCACACTCGAGACGATTGTCTGTTGTCGATTTTCCAATCAAAGGCACTGTGCAAGTATAGAAGGGTTTGGCGGAGCGAACAATATTCATGGAATTATCGTAGGGGATAAGTTGAATATTAAATGATGCCAGTCGGGTGGAAACAACGCTTTCACTATCTTCTTTTCTCGGTGTGACTAAATTTTCCGGGTCGGGGAACACACGCAACTTCACAAGACTGCCCAGTATATCACTCATCACAATCCAATCGAATCCAAGGGGATCGGAAACACGTGAACAATTTTTTCCTCCCTGAGGTTCGGTGGGGATCAAGTCGACCCGACTTATCGGGACGGCCATGTGGAATTCGATGCGGATCACAATACGACTCTTGGGATTTAGAACTGGACCTCCACTAGAAGAAAACCAGCGGCGATCACCAAACGGCACCGGGTTGGTGCATGCTCCGCTCTCGGGAGCTAAAAGCTGATCCATTACTCCGGTTTTTACAGTACCCAGGTCATGCCACGTAATGATGGCTCGGAAACGGACTCGTGTCCAATGTTTTGTCCGTCCATGACGTTGCATTGACAAGGTTGGTCTTATATCACGTTCAGAATTGTTACTATGCTCACCACTTCCCCTCCACTCAATTGATAAGCTCCAATCGGCATAGGCAAAAGGGAAGCTAGTGCTTTCAAGACTTCGACAGCGCATTGCTTCTTTCGAATCTCGAGGTACACGAAGCTGTTCCTCATACACAGTGACCGCACCTCGCAGCTCCACTTCCATAATCGCGGACCAATCATCAAACAGATAATGTTCCTTTGATAGAAAACCGGATTCAATCCAACGGGGAACTTTTACAAAGGGTTGTACCTGAATGAACTGTGATCCGATTTCCTCTCGAACCAAATTTCGATTGAAGTGTTCCTGATGGAGAATCGTAAAACGAGCATAGTCCAATCCAATTTTTATACCGTTGGTTACGCTACATGATTGTAGCACAACTCCCAGTGGCTGTTTCTGATAATGTACCACATATGAACCTCTTCTGGATTGCAGATCCAGCGGATCGCTGTAGTATTCTAACCGAATTTGCCATTTCTGTCCCCCGTAAACAAACTCTTTGGATTGAGCTGACTGAAGAAATCCCCGGGTAAGTTGCGGAGGTAATATGAACGTGAAGACATGTGTGTCTAGTTTATCCCCTACTCGCACAACGCGATGAAGCTGAAGCACAGGAGATTTATTCCCACCCGATGTTTGGAATTTCATTGTTACGGGGATGCATGTCTTCCGGGCNTAAGCACACTGACCAACTTATAGATACGACAAACTCAAGTGGGATGTCCCACTTAGGACTGAGCGGCCAATCAGACACGACACACGGGACTTACATTGAATCGTAACCTGATTGGTAGATATTTTTATGAGACTTAGGTAGAGTCAGACCAGTTGAGTGTGATGAGCAATAGTCATTCTCAATTCAACCTGAGAAGAAACAGTTATCGTAGATTGCTAAACGGTAGATATTTGAAGATTCAATAAAAACTCGGTTGCTTGCGAGCATATAAATTTACTCAATTCTTCTTTTGATAAACACGTTTGCCATTTACTTTTGCACTTACACATCATTCTATTAAGTATTGTCGTTCTGAACAGAACCTGTGTGCCTCTATTTGGTCAGTCTATGTAAAGATTTTTAGCAGACTCATTATGGTAAATGAAAAACAAGTGAAAATAAGATGGCTGTATCCCCAAGTATCCATAAATTCATGAAACAGAAGATTTCAGTTTGTTTCTGTCAAAGCTTACCTTCTCTTATTGCTTCCTTTTTTCTACTGACTGCAGTTGGCGTTCTCCGCGGAACGCTATAAATTTCCTCAGCTTGATTGCCAGTGGATGTCAACTCAACCCGGTGTTTCTACTCCATCCTCCTTATATCGGGTCCATTTAATACAAACTCAGTACATATAATATAATTAATGTAATTTAGGCAAACTTCAGTTGTATAATGTACTGTGAATCGAAATATATATATATATATGTGTGGGATGACTTTTGTCTTTCATCAGACTCGCAATACTTGTCGATTGTGAGTACAAACCGTTTTTGTTTCCACATTTCCCACATGTATTTTTTATACTAACGCATGCCGCTCCGTTGTCGCTGTCATTGAAAGTGTTAGCTTCAGAGCAGTGAATTGTTTTTCAGTTAGAAATTTTTTGGACTGGTTTGAAAAAAGTACAAAAGCCTCACCATGTTCAGTTTCCTTTCGCATCGATTTGATGTCAGATTATGTCGATTTTTAAACCGTTGGTTGTGAGACAAAAGAATATCTGCCCGATTGATTCTACCTTAAAGATGTTCGCAAAACAACGTGCTTGATAAGCGCTTAGATATTGTCACTGTCATTATTGCCACTAATGGTATACCGTTAGACAGCAACATTATCGTGTATCTCAAACCGATAGACCAATGAGCAACTTATTCTCATCCTCATGACAAATATTTTCCACTGATGAAAAACTACGGCATATCGTCTGATTACCATGAAGGAGGAGTTCATCTTCAAAATATTCTGTTCATAAAAAACAGCAGTTGACCACGCATAATTTCGGCTGTATGTATTTGCATAAGGATGCGTTGCTTAGAACAAACGTAAACCAAAACACTAGTGAATATTACAATTATTTTCATATTGGACCATCCCCTTAAAAATAACAGACTGCTAACGAAGCCCCTCATTCACTCCAGATTTTGCATTAATTTACGTTATTGACCTTTGTTCCGACGATCCCCTATAGAGAGATTCTAGCAAGAAATTCTTCCTTCTACTGAAGTCGGTTCTGCCGGATTCCAGAGTGCCAACCGCAGGGACTGCATCGAAAAAAACAGGACAGAAGTGAATCTCTATAATTTGGTGTTTTGACCCATAAATAGGTAAACCGTGTACAACAAATGCAGAAAAATAGCAATCAATGCAGATGCTACACCAGAACAAGTGCAGCAATGCCAATAGCCACTGGGGCTGGTTGTCATTTTTCACAAAATAGTTAAAGTGGGAAGAAAAGATTATCTGAACTGATCAAGAACTATATGATCAATAATACATTGTCATATGCTTATATCCACGTTTCCACACCTTGTGACTAGAGAAAAAAACCCAGTGAAGTTTGAAATGCGTCCTATGTTGGGCCAGTGCCACTAGCGATTCAGATTCGAGGTAAACCATACCTGGCTATGTCTGAGTGTCTTTCATGAATCTTAACCGTTGTAGGATGCCAACATGTGCACGCAATTCAGTAGTCTTCGCGAACATTGCACCACGTTGACGAAAACCGGGCATGCACTACCATCACTTGTCAGATACGCACAAACGCAATCGATAAACCAGTGAACAAATTGATACTTGCTCTCTGTACGATTTCAAACGAAGAGGCAGTCAGAACGGGACAAAGAGAGAATTCAGACTCAGTATTTTGTCACGGTTTTATTCAAAAGCTCGTGCGTTTCTGCTTTCATAGGGTATTTGTACAATTTAAACGTTTCCTGGTGAAAAATAATGAATATAATTTAACGTTCCTATATTACATGATTTTCCCCTCTTCTATTGCTTTGTGTTTTTGCTATTCGGGAAATGGGAGTTTGCCGGCGTTATAGTACGTTCCCACTTGAACAATTCAAAAGTTGGTTCACAATATACAGGAAATTGGACATCGTTCCAGTTGGTGAATGTTCTGGTACCACAGGGTTGACGCCAGGATTCCGGTAAACAGTTTTGAAGCGCTAACTTTAAAGGTCCTGAGAGCGATGTTAGGTGCGATTATGAGCAAGGGACGACATGGAGTGTTCGAGTTCCGTAGTTTATGATAAACCAAAATCAGGTTTCCTCAAATTCCGCTGTACGAAGCGGACTACGTCTTGGGGAATTCAAGCGCTTGACCATCGTGGGGGCTATCCTTCGTGAACGCTTTAACATCTTACGATCCTCTTGTAGACATGACCTCCGTGCCTTCACGACACATTTTGTGTACAGTGGAATAAACGCTAATAGCAGATGTGGGATCAGCGTTATTTCAAACTGACCACAGGCCCGTTCAGGCAAAACAACACTCTTCACAGTCTCGGATAAACCCCAGATGCAGTTCAACGAACAGCTTAAGATTCCTTGAACATTGATGTTAAGGTTCTTTGAACATGAGCTGTGGGTCAGTTGTTGATTTTCTAAGAAAATCGTGAAATCAAATGCCGTAATTTTAAATTTTATACAAAGGCACCCACTTCTTGGTCCGATGGAATCCTTTCAAAAAGTCCGGAATCCACCATATCGTTTCAAGAGATTAAAATTATTATTAAAATGGTGAAATAATTTGTTAAAAAGAAGATATGTCTCGGAATATAGTGTAAACGTGTAGAAATCATCGTGTGTACACTTGCACCTCACTTCAATATCATGTACCCTGACATTAGGAAACAAAACATGGGTTAGCAGCTGGCATGATACATGGAGGAATTCGTATAGCGATGATTATGATCAAAAAGGTTTGTTTATTCCCTCTGATTATCAGATAAAGAGCTTATTGATGTAACTGCTTATTATTACCGTCATCATGTTCACATATCTATTTATCATGTGATTTCTAATCGTTTGGGCTTTCTTACGTTTACTTCTCTGTACTCGCTCCTATCACCCTTACGTTCGTAGATTTCTCTATGCGATCGATAAACGCTTTGCTCAGATTGAACTCGCGAACACCATCTGACCTTCGGATTTATACCCGTACTAACATATATATATATATATATATATATATATTTCACACACGTCTGAGGCCAGACTGTGTACCAAAAATGGTGGTAAAATGGTCCATATAAAACGAAGAAAGTTCCGCGATTCGCATGTGGGCCGAATACTGCCAGGTTTCCCAGGCCAGGGAATCCACAACTGAAGCCTCCAGCTAACCAAAGCCTGACGCGCAAGGCACCGGGGTGGTGTGAAAACCGCAATCCATTGCTATCCGGTATTCAGTTTATCGGATCATACGCCTTTCGGACGGGGTCAAACGTACAAGGTGCCCAATACACTTCAATGCCCAATCGAGCCGGTAACCTTTGCCACACAGATGTGGGTGTGGTTCGTCGGCCTCATCATGGTTGGTTTGGAATGAAGGTTTTTAGCCAACTCCCGTAGGTCAACTGCCAGTGGTCCACCAACTCGGTTATAACCCTGGATGTCTACTTTTCCTCTTCCGCAGAGGCTATTTGAGACGCTTGGTCTTATGGGAGCATTTCACGAGGTGCAAGGGTAGGGTAACCGGCCGCAACCCTAGACACTGACCCCCGACCATACTGAGGCCTTTGTGCTAGNGATGTCACTCACAGTACACGTACATTCCGCATTCGGCTTCTAACACCTCACTGACCATATGAAGGTCACCAGCCAACCCATGTGCCCTCTGTATCCTCCCTGGTCTTCGCGGGTGGCCCTAAGCTCGACCTCTTAACTTTGAACTCTGCATCACCCACCGCCGCTCTACGCGCCATGTAAGCCCCCTGTTCGCGCTTCCTTATTAATTAGGTAGTTCCTTTTACAGTAACCGTCGGCCAACTACTACCGTGTCACTAAAATGGATCGTATGTTACGTTATATTTTGTAATAACGTTTCTTCTCAGTACCAGTCATACATCGTTGATCATCAACGACCCGTCATCAGTCTCACTGTCCATTACTCACTGGCGAAGGATAACCGAAACCCATAGATTTCCTTCGCTCATGTATATTGACCGTCATGGCGATTTGACTGCGTCAGGTCCAGCAGCACAACATAGTGTGAAATCTCAAGCCATCCGGATTATACGATGCATATACATGAATAGTCATACTTATCATGCAGACCCAGTTGGAGCCACGTGGTCCAACGACATGCATCTGTACACAAGTTGCATTTCGATGCCATTTCATTAGAAAATCAACAAATGTAGAAATAATAACGCACGCTAATTTAACCGGCCTGAGTTTGAATTCGTATTCTAACTTGAACTCATCCACCGACGAGAACTTTGGCGTGACTTCTTGAGGCATTAGTTCCTTTATTTATAATCATATTCAGTGGGCAGGAAGAATCAGAACTAAACTGAACACGCAATAATTTCTGTTTCTGCCCTTCATTTATCTTTTTGAATCGTAGCAGTCATTCCACAGCAGAAGTGTTAAATTAGTTATCTGATAGTTAAGCTAACTCTTACTCTCTCTATGGTAGAATGATCATAAT